CTCCAGCCCCTCCGGGTCTCTCCTGTTGAGGGCCCAGAACTGGGCCCAGCCCTGGAGGTCCCTCAGCGGTGCCAGCACAGGGACGGGCACTGCCCTGGGCCTGTGCCCACACCATGGCTGGCACAGCCCAGGGGCCCTTGGCCTTCTCGCCCCCCTGGGCACACCCGGGCTCGTGTCCAGCCGCTGTCACCAGCACCCCCAGGGCCTTTCCCAGCTTTGCAGCCCCTCTGCCCCAGCCTGGAGCTGCAGGGCTTGGTGTGACCCAAGGGCAGGACCCGGCACTGGGCCTTGTTGTCCCTCAGCCCAGGGATCCAGCCTGTCCAGCTCCCTCTGCAGAACCTTCCTGCCCTCCAAAGGTCAACACTCCCACCCAACTTGGTGTTGCCTTACTTAGAGTGCATTCTACAGTTTCTGTAAGAATTGATGCCTTAAACTGAGACAAAATTTAGGAAGCTGCTTTTCAAACTGTCTGTGATAACTGATATTCCCAAGCAGGTTTTTCTCAGGACTAAACCAGGTTCAAGGTGTCCCTGAGCCTTGGCTGCTGGCAGCTGTGCACTGTGTCGGTGTGTTTGTTTGAAAGCCCAGGCTCTTGCTCATCCCTTGCGCTTTTTTCTTTTGTAGTTCAAAACCCATTTCTTCACCTCTGATTGTCCAAGTTGGGCATGCAGAGACGCTCCAGCCCCTGCTTGCCCTGATGGGTTTCTTCAAAGACAAGGAGCCTCTCCTGGCCAGCAATTTCGCCAGGCAAACGCACCGGAAATTCCGCAGCGGCCGGATCGTGCCTTACGCGGCCAACCTGGTGTTTGTGCTCTACCACTGCGACCACGTGAACGCCTCCAGGGAGGAGTATCAGGTGCAGATGCTGCTGAATGAGAGACCAATGTCCTTCCATCACTCCAATGAAACCATCTCCACCTACGCCGACCTCAAGGACTACTACAGGGACATCCTGGAGAACTGCCACTTCAAAGAGGAGTGTGAACTGCCCAGAGTTAATGTGACTGCTGTGGATGAGCTGTGAGGGTGTTCTGCTTATTGATCTCGGATCAGTTCGACAGGCCCTGTAAACAGGCACTTTGAATGATTTGCTGCTGCTGTGTTAACTTTCTAGACTTGCAGATTGGGTGGGTTGTCTCAGCTCAGTGTGCTGGTTCTCTGTTGCATAAGCAGAACTACAAAAACAAATGCTGTAACAGGGAAGTTGCTGAGCATTTGTAACAAATATGTGATGCAAGACACAAGTCCCTGTGTGTTTATATGTACAAATAAGCTAAGTTCATTGGTCAGTCCCTCTGTGAATGTGCCAT